ATTAGATTCACCCTTAATTAATAGTTTTAATAGTCCATCTGCATAAGGTAGATAATTAAATAGAAATGAATAATAATAACAGAAGCCTTCTAGATTTAGTAATAATGATGGAAATAATACATTAAATGAAGGAAATTCAAAAGGGAATTCTACTCAAGCTAAATCTTTTAGTCTAAATTAAAATCCTTTACACAAATATGCAATACGAAATGAAATGGCTAGATAATAAAATTAGTAAGAATAAAAATAATGAATACTAATTAGAACAATTTTATTCAATAAATTAAATTAATAACTTTATTTTAAATGAAAATTTATAACTTATTTATCATCTAAAAATTTAAGCTATTATGTTAATATAGATAAATATTAATATCATTAACCCCAGAAGCACAAAACTAATTTTTGTTGTATTCTTTAATATTAGTAATCAAATTTTTGTATATAATGTGAAAAATTAATTAAAATGAGTGATAGTATAGACATTAATGACATGATAAATTTGAATAGGTATTAAATTATAAATATGTAGGAATATTTATGGTACCTAGTAACAAAAGCATGAAAGTAAGATGATTTAAAAGCCTGTAGATGATTCTAGTCTTACTATAGATAATATTATAAAAGGAAATTAGTATTAATTTTATGTGAATAACTAAGAGCATTTTATAATCCTGTAGTACTTCAAGCATCATAAGTGTAAGAATAAATTGTAGAAGAATCTTAGGAAGATAAACCTAACTTTTTTCAAGAAGTTTAATAGTTAACGAAAATACCAGAAATTGTCACATTCAATTTAATTTATAATTATAAGACAATTTTTAAGAATGAAGGCATCTCTTATGAAGAAGCTAAACATCTTGACAAAAGTATATAATAATTTAGTAATATTTCTTATAGGTAGAATTAAAAGAAAAGAAAGAGAATAAAAAGCCAGTGGAGCATCTGTTATAAAGGAAATTTTGCCAACAAAGAAACAATATGTTAGACTATATAAAAATCAGATTTCTAAATTGTGTTTTATTGCTCCTAAGAGTCTCATTTTAATTAGCTAACATTTAGGGAATAATACTCAATGGGAGAAGCATTTAAAACTTTAAGATTTTAGTGGATAGAGACCATCATTATCAATAGTTCAAGAGAAAACCACAGGAAGATTCTATATCTATGATAATAAATAAGGGAAAGTACATATATATAGTTCAGACATGTTAATAAATGATAATAAGGATAAACCTTTAGTTTCATTAAATCTGAATGAGGATAAACCTAGATAAGATCCATTATTATATTTGATTGAATGTGAACATGAATATTAATGGAAAAGTGTATTATTTGTAATTGGAGGACATCATTTATAAAGAGGAGAAAAGAAACCATTAAAAACAATAAAAGTTTTTGAAATAAAAAGAAGAGAAGTTACATTAACACCTGTATTAACAATGACAATGACAAAATCAAGAATGAATCCTATAGTTTTTGATTTAATTAAAGATAAAGGACTGATATGGTAAGATAAAGATAATGGAGAAAAAGAGAAAGTAGATGCTGAACATAGATCAGTTGATCAAAAATATATTTTTATAATGGGTGGAAATCCTTTATTAGAATATGAAAGAGAAGTTGATTAAGAGTTGATAGAAGCTAATTAAACTTGTGAATATGTTAGTTTAAAATTGATTCTGGAACATATCGCTAGAGCCAAACTAGTAATTTGATTATAATAGATTTGAATAGTTTTCAATGACAGATTAAGCCAATTTAAGTTTGAATTTCGGAAAATTCTCTATAGTTGATACTCTTACTATAAAATATCAAAATATGATTGCAACTGAGAAGTTTTATAATCATTTTTACAATGCGTCAGTTACAAAAATGGTTGATGATGTTTTTAAACATAAAGCACTTATTATTTTGGGAGGCAATGCTTCATAAACATTTTAAATTTAAGCAATTTCATTTAAGCTTAATGAAATTACATTGATTGGATAGACAAAATAAATATCAAAACCATCTCTTATATACTCAGCAAGTAATTTAAGGTATATATTAATAATAAAAGAGATATTATGAAAAGAAAGTGTTTTATTTTGATGATACAGATAAAAAGGAACCTTCACAATTATAGAATTAAGAATCTAGAAGAGATACCAAAGTTGCTTGTAATTGTAGTATAATGTGAATATAAAGAAATAATCTTAATTATATTATTTAAATAAATATTTATATATAGATTAATAATTTAAATTTTGTCTAATATAAATATTAAATAGATAGAAATAATTAAAAAAGAAGAAAATATATAAGTATAAATTTAAGTTTATTTGAATCAATCAACATCAGATTGATATTCTTCTTCTTCATCATCCATTTCATCTATTTGATCATCATTTGATTAATTACTATATAATACTTTTAATTCTTAGCCATCTTCTCTTTCATCAAAAATCAATTAAAATCTATTATTTTCTAACATATTATCATAAAATAATAAATGTTTCTTGTTAGGTGGCCATTATGACTATTCTGGTGGAGGAATCAATGTATCTATAGACAATCTATATTATTGATTATAAATTCAATTACCTGAAAGCATTCTCAACCATTGCAGGAATTATTCTACCTAACAGAGGAGAACTAAGCTCTAAACAAGGATTTGTATTAATTTCAATTAAATATGGTTAGAATTTCTCATCTATCATAAAATCTAGTCCAAAAATTTCAAAATTGTAATTTCTTTTATATGGTTCAATCTTATAATATACAGATTTAATAGCATTCAAAGTGATTATCTTCAATTAAGGGTATAAATCCTTATAAAAATTCAAATGTTCATTACTATGCCATTTATCGAGATATCTTTAAAATTCAGCAAAAGACAACTTGTTTCCATTTTCATATTTTCCATAAGCCTCACTATATTTTTGTATTGCATCATTAGTTAAATGTACATACTAATTACTCACATCTTTGATATCAAATTCTTCACTTGAAGTTCTTATATATCCTTCTTCATACCAGTAGGCTCTAATAATGCTATTTAATTATGTTATCAAAAAATAACATCTTATATCAAACTTTCTTTTATTATATAGAAAAGGTTTTTCAATATATTTTTGTATCAAATATGTAAATGGTTTACCATTAGGATGAATTTATTTTTTGCTAACTATTTTATTAATTTCAGCTAATGATTAACATACAATGATTCCATTTCCTCTATTAGTAAATTCTCCTGGTTTCACAATCCAAATATTATTTCCCTTCCTTATAAATATATCTAAAATACTTTTATTTATAATAATCCATAAATTATTGATATTATTTATCTTTGATACCAGAAACATGAAAAGTTATAGGTAAATGAAGAAATAACTCCTGTTTTGTTAATTCATAATATTTCTTCATATTATGAAACATAGCTTTCTTATTACCTAAATGATAATTTCTTTCAATATGATTATGAATCTAAATAATTATAATATATATATAATTACTTTATTCACATTATCAATTATTTTTAATTCTTTTTTTTCAACATATTAAATAAAATTTTAAATTGATTTATCCATAGATTTTAATTCATTTAAATCCTATTAAAGAATTAATTTTTAAAGTGGATCATAATATGTTCCAAATTTTTAAATTTATTTATTATTTTTTGGAGATTGCTTTCTTTTTTATTTTTTAAAATCTAGAGATGTTTAAGATAATGATTTTTATCTAGTAATAAATGACTCTTTGCTCCATTATTATAAATTCATATATTATGGAACTTTAATTTATGTCCAAATAAAATTTAATTCTTTATTTTCAGCATCTTAATTTAGATTCCACCACCATCTAGATTTAAATAATTCTTTTATTAATAAACTATTATTTCCTTTACCTACTTTAAATTTTAAATCTATCACATTTTCAGATGGTTAAACATAAAAATTACTCTATGTAGAAACTATAAAAATCAAATAATGGTAACTTAGTAATTTCATTTAGAATAACTATTCTCTACTTAATGAAGAATAATCTGTTAATGAAAATCTGAAATTTTGATTAGTCTTAATAGTTTATTATGATACATTTTTATTTTTGTTTTAAGGTGATTAATGTCTTTTCTTTTAAACTGAACGAGTATGAAAATCTCTTTTTTCAACAAATGATTTTGATGATTCTCTCTCTTTTTCTTGAGACCATGCTTTACTTCTAATTGATTATTATTCTTATAATTTAAATGACTTTATTTGCATTCCTAATATTTTCATATGATTTTCATGTGTAATTTCATCAACCTTCTATTACATTCCACCTAATATATTTTATAAAATAGTTTTTGTTTTATCATTTTCTATAGCATTCTTTATTTTAGAAGTTGATCTTTTTATTTCATTAAGATTTGCCTTCCTTTCTTCAACTAAATCATCATTACTTGTTTATAATTTATGCTACATATTATAAAATTTATCTATATTTGATAGGATTAATTCCTCCTATTTAAAATCAGAAAATACTAAACTTAATGTCTAATCCTTTTAATGAGATGATCTTCTTAATGCTTTATTATTTAAAATAAAATACATTCAAATTATTATTTTTTTATCGCCTATAAAGTTCTAGGTAAAGAAATCGCCCTCTTCTCATTTGGTCTTTATTTTTAAGGTAGGTGTTATATAACGATTCTTTATTATTTGTTTCTTTAGAGTTGATTATACTTATAACATGATCTTGCAACAAAAGCAGTCATAGGATGAATGGTACTTGGATTAAATAGACATTATATCTAGGGAGTATTTGGAAATATAGCTAAATCTCTTTACATTATTAAAACAGCAATTTATTTATATAATAAATAAATGCATATAGATGATAGAGATTAAATTCATTTATTAATTTTTAGTTAATATTCATGACTAGTTACTAAAGAATTTATTAGTAATTAATGATATCTTAGTTATTCTGTTGAAATAATCAATTCCATTATAAAATATATTTATTATTATTTAATGGAAGAATATATTAATACTCTCAAGAAAACTGCCAATTAAGAAAGATCTTCGAAACGACATATATAATAAGTTGCTTAATTAGAAATTAAAAGAATGTTTAAATTTGATCCAGATACTTAACTGTAAAAGTAAATGAAATAGTTTGATGTAATTTTTTGTTTAATTATTAAGATTCTTCTTCAAAATAGATAATGGAATGGAAATTTACGATTTTGTAATTTTTAAGGCAATTTTAAAATTGAATATTGGATATATATAGAAAAATAATTAAGATTTTGTGATTAGTTGAAAAAAATGAAATTTACTAAATCAAAATTAGGTCTAGATCATCTTTAATTATTATTGAAATTGCTTATATGGCTTTAACCATAAGGAATAGAAATTGAATTTAATCATAATGAACTTGATGATCATAGTCTCAATGATTTTACTCTTGAATTAATTAAAAGCAAATTAAACTTAAAATATGTAAGATCTCTCAGTATACTTAGTTACTTATATCTAATAATCCTGGTATATTTAGAGGAAAATACTTGTAAAATTTATCCAATTTCTTAGAAAAATAATTTACATTAAATTTAAGCATCAATCACTAATATAAATCAATTATCTTATATAATAAAAGATTATTTGATGAAAAAAGTTACTCATACATATAAAAGAAATTGAAAAGAATGAAATATCATTCATTTAATTTAAGTAATTGCTTTACTGAATAAAATTATTAAGGATTTGAATATTTAATATAAACATGTTATAGTGAATCAGCTTTAGAAACTATTTCTGAACTTAATATTTCAAATAATTATCTTGGTCCAAATACACTAATTGAATCATTATTTGTTAATTTAGCAAAAGCAAAGGGACTTTTAAAATTAGGTTTAAATAATTTAAATTAATTAACTCAATCTACTTGCAAAGCATTAATTGGTAATCGTTATTCTTATCTAAGACTATTGGAACTTGATTTATCAAATAATTCATCCATTGATGAATCTGCATTATAAATACTCTTAGATGAAATTATCTCTAAATCTTGTAAGTATTTTGCATTTGAAAATACATTTTAAAATAGTGAATCACTTTTAGCTAAATTGTACCATTTTGCCTAATCTTTTAGAAATAGAATAAAATAAGGAGAAAGATTGAATTTGGAATCAATAGATTTAAGCACAATTGAGAATATTTAATAGTATGATTTACTAGAAGATTTATTAAAATTTGTTGTTTTTAATTCCTTTAGTAATATTAAAAGTTTAGTAATCAATCCATTAACTGATGGGATATGTTAAAGTTATATTAATGCAATTTAAAACTTTAAAAAGTAATACAGAACAACAAAATAATTAAATTTACAATAAATAACTATAAAAAAATAAAATCAATAATTAGGAGAGGATATTCTAAAATAATTAATGAATGAATTGTTTTTTCCTTAAGAAAATGAAGCTATATCAATATAAACAGTATATTTTAGTTCTCGTAGTTTTGAATTAGACTCAAATTGCTTTATATTTTAATAATATTTAAATTCATTAGATACATATAGAACATTTAGTTTAAAGAATCTTTTAATTAAAAATACTTTTGTAACTGATAAATTAACAGAAAAAATACTTTAAGTGTTTTTGGCATAACGAACATTTGATTTGGAAACATTGTAATTTAAAGAAGACAATTTTAATGATACAATATACTTTGATTAAATTTTGTTGTAGAGTAAATTCTTAGAAAAATAACCTGATATAAAATATTTTGCTTTAAGAAAATTAGATCTTTAAATTGTTGGATTATAAATGAATATATCATTGTTTCTAAAATGCTTTATTACTAATAATTAAGTGAAATTAAATTATATTAGTCTTGCTAATTTAAGTTTAACTTATGATTAATTATCTCATGAACATTATGTATCACCTGTCAAAGATGATAATCTAGATTTATAAACTATAAAATTTAAAGATAATACAGATATGAATAAAAAAGCATTTAAGATATTTTCTGATTATTGTATTTTCAATTAGTTTCTAGATTTGTAATATCTACAAATAAGTGATTTTGAATATGATTTAGATTTATCTTTTTAATTTGATTCACTAAAAAAATTAAGTCTTTATCATAAATTTAAAAAATTTGATTTACCATTAAAAATTATTTTAGCATCTCCAAAACTAGAAGAGTTAAATTTCAAAAAAGTTGATATCAATGAAGATTTAGCAAAATCACTCAGTAAATATTTTTTATTACGTCAATAAAAGGATGAGAAAGGAAAATAATTATTTTATTTCATTTCTAAATTATCATTTTTTGAATGTAATTTTTCAAGTGAAATATTATAATTCTTTTTTCTTGATCCTTATTGTGATTTAGAACAATTATAAATAATATAATGTAAAGGTTTTGAGAAAACTTTAGACAAATTAGTTACAGGACTAAAAGATTCTTAATAATTAATTAAATCTTAATTATCAATTCTAATAATGAAAAAATTAAAATTACAAAAAAATATTAAATCTTTTTTAAAATTTTTAGAATATGTTTGTTTTAATTCAGAACTAATAGAAGAAAAGGATTTAAGATGTCAATTAGAATAATTAGTGTTATAAAATTGTTCTTTAAATGATGAATTCTTTTAAGGTTTAATTGATTTAATTTCAAATTGTATTGAATAAGAACAAATATCAAAAAAGTTCTTGTAAACTATTGACTTTTCTGATAATAATTAAATAAAAAGTACTTTATGGAGAAAAGTAATATATTATTTATATTTAGTTTTATTAACTTCTAATGTCTAAAGAATTGAAACGATAAAAAAAAACTAAAATTTTGGTCTAACATACTGATTTTTAATAATAAGAATAGAAATTACATAATTTTATAGAATAAAATCATCTAAATTTATAAGATAAAATTTAAATAGCTCCTGATAAATTTATATAATCACCTCCTTCAAGAATTTAAGATATGGCAATAAAATTTTTTACTGAATTTGAAAATGAAAAAGAAAAGATTAATTATTATTATAGAATGTTAGCTGGTTTAATTTATTATCCAAAAAGTAGAATTAGTAATTTAAAAATAAGTGATGTAGATCTAGATTTATTTATAAATACTTCTGAAAAACTTCTTATATATTCAGATTTATCAAAACAAGATAAATAAAAAAAATAAACTTTTACAAATATTAAAAAAATAACAATTTCTTCTATAAAATTTAATGATTCATTAAATACATAATCCTTTTATTAATTATTTATTAATAATTTAGTATCTTTAAAAATTGCTGATGCACAAAGTGGATTTATGGAGGGATTACTTAACTTTTTAGATAAATTTGAAGGTAAATTAAAAATAACTAAATTACATTTAATAAGAGTAAATGAATATCTTAATTAAAATTAATCAAATTAATTTCTAAATTATATAATATTTGGACAAAAATTACCAATAAAATAATTAAAGATTTCAGAATCTATTTAATTTAAAGATGATGAAAAATTCGTTAAATAAAATCTAAGTAATATAATCCCATAAATTTAAAAATTAATTTTCAAAATAGAAAATAAAGATTCATTCTAATTCCTTCAATCATTTTCTAAATATCTTTTGGAGAGTTAAAATTTATAACATTTTGAAATAGAATGTACTTAGAGTGGAAGTTTATTATTTGAAAATATTGATTTAATGAATAGTATTCCTAAGTTAAATGTTCTTAAACTTAAAACAGTTGTAGATTTAACTCCTAAATTATTAGAATTTATATCTTAAACAGCTACAACATTATAAGAAGTTAAATTTTAAAGTGTAAGAATCTAAAATATAAAAGAAACAGTTACATGGTTTAATAATGCAGAAACTATTGTATTAAATTGTAAATTAATAACCAAAATAGATGAAATAGTAGAAGAAGAATAAGATATCATTATATAATATTTTTTGAGTAATAAGATATTTTAATGGCAATAACTTAAATATAAATCATCTAAAGGATTATAAAAGTTCAACAATAAACTTCTAAGTGATAATTTTAAAAATTTAATTAAACTTGAAATTAATGCACAATTTGAAATAAGTTCTAATAAAAAAATATCAAATGATTTCTTGTTCTATTTATCAAAGTATATTATTTATAATGAAGAATCTAAATTAAAAGAACTTATATTAATATAATGCAATATTACAGTAACATAAATTTTTAAATTAATAAAATAAGCTGAAGAATTTAGTGAAAATGTTTAAAAGCCTCTATCTTTAAGGCGTTTTACTTTAAGTAAATCTCAAAATATTGATGAAGAAGCATTCTAAGAATTATGTCGCTATTTAATATTCTTCCAATATATCAAATTAGATAGACTTGAATTAGTGTAACTTAATTTATCAAACAAAATGATTTAAAAATTGATTGAAAATAGCTTAGAATGGTTATAGTTTTAAACTTAGAAAGTATTTGATTTTAAATGTTTGAATTTTTCATATAATGATACCTTTGGATCAGTAGAAACTTGGGAGTCTTTATGTAAGACATTTTTATTTAGTGAATATACACCTATGTTAACCCATCTGTTTTTAAATGGAATGGATATAAAGAATCATATTGCAAAGTTGATTGCTAATTGTGCATTTTAATTTTTCAAAAAATAAGGTTAAAATTATTAACATCCTTTAAAAGAAATAAATTTCTCATAAAATAGATCTTTAAATTAAATAGGATGGTATTTTCTAAGCAAATATTTCTTTTTTCATAATTGTGTAGATTTAAAAGATATTGATGTAACAGATTGTGAATTAAATGAAGAAAATAAAATTAATAAATTTATGGCACCTATCTATGAAAGAGTTAAACTATTTGGAAATCTGAGAATAATTAAATTTAGAAGTGATAACATTAGTTTAAAAAATTCAATGTATAATGTAAATACAATTCCAGGAAAAGATAAATTTAAAATTATATCTGATTTACCTTTTAAAAGAACCAAATATGTTGGTTGGGGAAAAGTTGAAGGTAAGATATAATCATTTGGTATTTTGTAAAAAAATATAGAGAAAACTTTGAAGTTGCAAAGAAGAATAAATTTATGTGATTGTTGGTAGAATCTTAATGAAGTAAAATTTAGTGCTTATCATCTTAATTTTATTAATCACTTTTTATAAATATTACCATAATTGACTCTAGAAAAGGAATATTCATTTTCTTATTATTGTTTGGATTAATTATTTAATTTGTTTTAGTATCCTGATAATGGTAGTGGTAATCCTTATCCTCTTTCAGGATTATTTAATCCAAAATGTTAAGAATTCTTTAGTACTTCACAGATATCTAAAATAACACTTGTAGAAACCTTTTTTCCAACACTTGAGAAACCTAAGTAATAGGATATTTGGAAATTTTATATAGATGTGATTTCAAAGAAAAACAATTTAGATTTAGTTGAAATTGAATATACTTTAGATGATGATTTAATTGAATATTTATTAGAGAATGATTATACTGAAAGAGATATAGTTAAATTGATTAGAGTTGTACCACCATCTCATATCATTATTTAAAATAGTTTAACCTTATAAGCAATTAAAGGAATATATTCAATTTTATATGAAAGTAACTATTTTTAATATTCTCATATATCATATGATCATAGAAGAGTTTTAAATAATGGAATTGGTTATTCAATAAGAGCATTAGTTTATGGAATCAATTTTTAATATAAAGTCCTCATTTTCTTTAAGAAAATTCTATATTTCTTGTTATCAATATTTGTTTCAGATGCAAATAAATATTCTTATTCTTTAGAAATTAAATAATTAAATTAGAGACTACAAAGTTCATTATTGTATTTTGACTTTTTGGTTGTATTGACTTTAATCTATTTATTTATGTGTATTGGATCTCCAATATTACTTACTATCAAAGATTTAGATAGTTAAGAAGATTTGTGCAAGAAAGGAGTTAATTAAATTGCAACCTATTCATATTATGGATTTGCTGTTGTTACACTTATTTTTGAATCTCTATTATACAAATAAATAGTTGCATTAATTCCTTCTCATGTTTCTAAATTAATTGATATTGATAATTATAATTAAGATAATTAGGATGTATAGAGACAATCCATTTTTGGATTCATTTAGCAAAATAGAGTGACTCCATTAGATGAATAACATCATTTAAAAGAGAATAGTGAAAATAGCAAAGATTATATCACAAGATTTAATAGCAATATAAAGGAGTTTATGAATTCTTCTTATGCTTAGAATATTCAATTTTTAATTACTCTTACTCTATCTCAATTATCAAAATATGATCTATATAATGATGTTGTATTTATCATAAACTGCTTTAATTGTAAATAAGATACATTATATTATGCTGCATTAATTATTACAATATTTAATTTAGCAATATATTTGATATATTTTATTGAAATACTTATTCGAAGAATCTAAAGAATTAAATTACAAACTAAATATTTATCAACATAAACCATAAATGACTTTTTTGATCTTTGTACTGTTGGAAGAAATGCTGCTTTAGCTTAAATCTTAGATACAGTAGCACCATATAATGTAAGTGTATTTCCTAATAAATGGTTTATTAGAAAATTGATACCTAATGTTGCTGGTAAAAGTTTGAATAAATCAATAAAAGTAATAATTGTTATTTTATATTATTAAATAGAATTATCTCATAAAATTTATATTTGAAGATGTCCCTTAATTGACTTTGTAATTAACATTCCTGTATAAAATGACAATCTCAAAATAGATAACTTTGGGTTGGTCTATTTACATTACTTTAGGTACTTCTATAGTCACTATAATCATATCCTTTTTTAAGTATAATCTCAACCATTAATTTTAGATTTATGTAGTTAAGACCTTCAACAATATCTTAGACAGACTTTGATAAATTAGAAAGAACAAATACTTAGATATATGATTATAAAATCAACCATTTGTAAAATGAAATGAAAATGCTTATAAAATATGAAGCCTTTTCTGCTTAAGAAAGAAATATTGAGCAAAGCTTAATTATAAAGAAAAATGATTCAGATAGTATGGTATGAATAATAAGTCTTTATATTTAAATTACAATATATACTAGATAATTCAAATCATGTTCATTTTCCATCCTAATAAACCTTTTCCATTCCATACTTATGGTGTTATAGTTAAATCCATTATGATATATGATTCTTTTGAAAAGTCAATGTTTATTACACTTACTTGAGGTGTAAGTAAACGAACTATTTTTACATTTATTTATTTATTTTATTGATTTTTTATGTATTCATAAAGATTTTATAATTTATTATGATTGCTATGATCTATTATGCCAAATCTAATCAAAAAATCATTAATTTTAAAACCAGCCTTATCTGCAGGTGAATCTTTAATCACATCTTCTAAATAAGCAAAAGGTTTAATTAAATCATTTTCATTTTATTTGGAATATTCATTCTTCCAATTTTATTAACTACTTGATTATTATTATTATTATTATTGTTATTACTACAATTGTTATTATTATTATTATTTTGATTGTTATTGCTGTTATTCTTTCCATTTTTAGGTGTATGCTTCTATTTCATTATTGAGATTGGGATCATTTTACAATTCCTAATGATATTATATCATAGCTAAAGCATTATAATAATACATACTTTATTCAAGAAGCTTCATTAAATCTTTGTAATCATTATTTTTTTCATTGAATTCTCTTCTTAAATTTTTATATGTAGATAATTCACCAAAATCTAGATCTTATCTAGGAAATCCTTCTTCATCTATTAATGATTTATTATATCCTTTATCATAATAAACTTATAGTTATTAATTTAATTGTTCAATATGATTCTCTAGTTCTTTTCTCTATTATTATAATAAAACCAACTTCTATTTTAGCATTAAAAATGTAATTATAAATTGTAATGAAATATAAAAATTACATTTAACAAGCAAATATTATATATATATCCTATTTAAGAATTATTTATTTTTCAATAATATATTTTACTTTATATACAGATACAAAATAATCATTTTGGTTTTTCATTTGCCATATTTACACGAATATTTCTACCTCTAAATTTAGTTCCATTTTATTTTAATGCCACTGCTACCATTTCTTTAGTTCTACATACTCCAAAAGCAGATCCTTTTGATTAACCATCCTAACCTCTTAATAATCTGAGATTGAATAATTCAACTCCTTTATTTTTGAATTCATTTTTGATTTCATCTTCTGTAATCTTAAAATCTAATCCTCCAATAAATATTTCTTATTCTTTTTTAACAGTTTATGAAACTTAAACTGTTGGTTATTAATGATAATTTTGATGTGATTAAAATTATTCTTCAATTATATCTGGAAGTGTGGTAGCCTATTCAATTTCTATTCCTCTACAATATCCATTTTGACTTATCTCCTAATATTGATTTTCAAATTCTTCTTTTACATCTTCACTAATATCAAATGCAACACCATTCTCATTTCTTAATTTTTTCATTCCTTTAATACTATTGCAAATTTATTCTGAAAAATTATTCTTTAAGAATTTCCAAATGTAACCACAAGCCTAAAAAGGAGTTGATGATCTTAAAATATATGTTATATATCCTTCAAATGATCCCAACATAGATCTATTCTATAGTTTGTCTTTATATCCACTAACACATGCTAAGGCTCTAGCCAAAGCTTCTACAGGATCACATCTAGATATGATTTCTTAAGCAACAGGTTAAAATAAATCAACAATTTCTTTACTAACTACTTATAAACTAGTTTATAAATCTCTTGAGCTTGCTTTAATAATATCTTAATGTTGAGGAGCAGAAATTTTAATGAATTTAATTTTAGCTACTCTCTCAACTCTTTCAATTAAACTCATATCCTTCTTTGAATAAAAAGTGATACATATTCCATCCTTTCCAGCTCTTCCAGTTCTACCTGATCTATGAATATATGATTCAATGTCTTTAGGAGGATTACATTATATAATCAAATCTACTTATGGGAAATCCAAACCTCTAGCTGCAACATTGGTTGCAACCAAACATTTGAATTTTCCATTTTTAAATCCTTCAAATGTAACTGTTCTTTGTTATTAAGGAATATCTCCATGTAATGGTTATGTTTCAGCAGGTAATTTAGAATGTAAAATAATTTCATTACATTCTCTTTTAGTTTCACAAAAGATAATTGTTCTTGCATGTCTTCCACCATAAACTGAAACTACATCACCTATTGCACCAGTTAATTAATTTCTTGCACATTATAGAGCATAATGTTTGACTGTGGTTGATGTTTAAGTCTAAATGTTAAGATCAATAAAATTACCTCATTTCTTTTTATCAAATTAATATGTTTAGTATTACTTTCCATATATTTCTATGATAATTCTTTTACCCAATCAGGTATAGTAGCACTAAATAAAAGCATTTAAATTTTTCTATCATTGAAATATGACATGATCTTTTCAATGTTTTCCTAAAATCCAAAATTCAACATTTAATCAGCTTCATCCATAACAACTACTTAAATTTCATCTAATTTTAAAACCTTTCTTTCTAAAAGATCTTATATTCTTCCAGGTGTTCCTACTACTATTTCACATCCTTATCTCACTTAATCAATTTAGTTTCTAAGATCTGTACCACCAAATATACTATAAATTCTATATTCATTTTCTTTATGTAAAATAGAATTAAATTCAGTAGTTACTTGGATTGCTAATTCTCTTGTTGGTAATAATACTAATACATAAGGATTTTTATTTTATTTTAATCCTAATCCTCGTATTCTTTCTAGTATTGGGAGACAATATGCAAGTGTTTTACCTGAACCAGTTCTGTCCTACCCTATTATATCATCTCCATTATAGATTGTTTCAAAACATTATTATTGAATTGGAAATAAATTTGTGATACCTCTACTCTTTCATGTTAATGTTAAATTCTTACCTCTAAAATTTTTCTGGTCTATTTGTTTTTAATATATGCTTTCAAGTTGCTCTCATCGTTTCCTTTGATCTTTTTAACGATATCTGGTTCAATTAATTCAGAACTTTTTCTTCTTGTTAACATTAATTGTTAATCACAATTTATAATTTAATAATTGATAATTTTTATTATTTCTTTATCTTATCAAGAATAAATGATTTGATTTTACTTCATTATTTTAATTAGAATCTCTAAAAAATCAACTAAGTTATCTTATAGATTTATACATTGATACTAATTCATATATGATTTAATCAAATTTTATACAAAGCCCACCACATTTGAATGAAAATTAAAAAAAAAAAAAGTAGATAAAAATATTATTTGAATAATCAATTTTGTAATAATTATTTAATAGAATTATGAATCAGAGAAATAGATTTTTATAAAACTGCAATATTTTAATAATAGTAATCATCTTAAAGAATATTTTCTATCAGTATCATAAACAATTTATAAAGAGAATAAACTAAATCAATAATAATTAATTAAATATAACTTTTTTAGTATGTTTAAATAAAGAATAAAAAAGCTTAATAAATGACTATAAATTTATTCATTAGAATAATAATTATTATTTTTAAATAAAAATCTTAATTTTCAACTCTATATTTTATTAATCTAACATCATATTATGATAAAGACATAATCTAGTTTATAAATTATAGTTTTGATAAAATCAACTTTACAATTGATTGAGTTTATAAATATGTCTACTTTAGTATTAAATATGAGTTAAAATGTATTAAATAAATTAAATAGACTTTGATGACAAATATTTTATTGAATTTAATAGTTTACATTTAAATATATGAATTTTTAATAATGACACACTATTCTGTTTATTTGATATTTTTTCTAATTTTTCATTAATTAAAATAATTCAAATCAGTTATTTGCATAGTTTAAAATGATAAATATATAAAAAATAAGTTTATTTATTACTATTACTATAGGTATTATTTATGATGATGATAGTAGGGTTATAATTTTACAAAAATACTACTAAATCGAATTAAAAGGATAGATTACATATTTTGAAAATACTGTCTATTATTGATTTAAAGAATATATTTACATTATCAGAGTTACATTAATGAGTTAATTTGATAATTAAATAAAAATTCAGTATTTTTTGAATGGAATGAAAGTTTAAAAGAAATTATCTATAAGATGAATTGATAATGAAAAATATAATTAGTAAATAATGATCTTATCTTATAAATATGTAATAAATGATTAATTAAATTGGGTATTAAATGACTTGTATTATATATATATTTATATAAAATTCGAAAATGATATGAGAGGCTATATAAGTATTTATTAAAAGCTATAAAATGATAATTATTAAAAAAAAATATTTAGAAAAATGATTTAAGATTCTATATTTGCTGAATCCTTTTGGAATCCAATTTATGATAAATGGCAATTGAATTTGGATGATGAAGAAGTAAATATTTTTTCTTAAATTGAAGGAATAAACTTTTGAGCTATACTGTGAAAACAACTTAGAGAGATTTAAAGTGATCTCAGGTCAATTGTTCGCCTCTAATTCATATATAAATTTATTGGAAACTTATGTTATTTTAGATGAGAGTGGAGTAACTCTTTAAAATAAATTTGGTTAAATAAATGTCAACGGGCCAAATTTACAGTAGTTTTACAAGGTGATTGATTAAAAATGTATGCATTTGGATATTTAATTGTATTATGAAATTGAAAAAGTGTTGTTTGACTTAGAGAAATTTTAGGTAATATTTGTTGTAATTAAATAGGTGTTGTAAGCAAGAGATAAAAAGAGTGGGATGATAAAATCAATAAAAAAGTATCCGAAATCAGAAGGAAAGGAATATTTAAAATAGATAATTAGAAAATAAAAACATGAATATCTATATGAAGATAACCAATATATCTACATAGTTATTTCATATTTGAATGGAAAGATGATTCATGAGTTGCCCTTCCAATAATCATATTTTGGTTTATTAAAAATGTTGTACAAATATCATAATGAAGGGTTCATTCTAAATCACTTTTTAGTAAAATTCGTTTTAATTTTTTAATAGGTCTCTAACATAATTTTGTTGGATGATAATTGCAATATGGATGTTTTAGACAATAGTATGATTGAAAAAATGACGAATGAATATTCTAAAGAAATATTCTAAGATGTTCAATTAATCAAGTCATACTTAATTTCTAAGTAAATTAGTTAATTAAAAATTCTAGATTTCCTGAAGAATAGAATATTTTATAGAATATGATTAATACTAATGTTTAATCAGTTCAAGAACTCTTGTTTAATGAAATTTTCATTAATTACTTTGGAGAAAGTGAATTCTATAGACTACTCAATTCATAACCATATTAAAAACAAAATCATTTAACTTAAAATTCTAATTTAAATTTATTAGAAACCTTTAATACAATAAGATCAAGTATTATGGATTCATCTGATGAAATGGAAGATGTTTAATTAAATAGACAATTTAATTTTTGTTCATAATAATTTGATGATTCTCCAATGTTATCTCCAAGTTAAAAACCAAAACATTAATCAAGATTATCAAGTAGATAAGTAGTTTTGGAGACACTCCTTTAAGAAAATATAATAACATAATAATAATTTTAATAGTTTTATAGAGATGAGGATTTTCAAAATGAATAGGAAATTAATGAATTTAGTGAAATGTTGACTAAAGAAATTGAAAACTCATCTCTAACTACTCCAATATAGAGTGATGTAATTCTATTCATAATTATTATAGTCTAATACGACTTGTCCCAATACTGTTATTATTCATAGTAAGAAAAATGCAGTAAATCGCATTTGCGATATTCTACATGAAGCTTAGTAGGAATTAATTTAAGCAGCCAAAAAACCATATAATGTGAATAAAGTGTAGAATGTTAGGAAAAATCTATTTAATTTACATTGATATCTGAATCACCGTTATTCATAATTTTTGTTATTATTTTTTATATCTATACTTCAAACTTACATTCCATTTAACTTTAATTATATATTCTATTCAAACACAACATTGTTTAGTAATTAATTTCTTATACAATTCCTTTTAGCCGTTTTGTATTCTAATGAATTTATATCATTAAATAATTATAATTCTTGATAACAAATTTCTGTCATTGAATTTATTTATTATTGTCTATATTATTATAAGTAGTTATTGAAATTATTGATATCTTTATTACATTCAATTAATAATGCATTTTTTATTTTTTCATCATTCTTATATAGATCCTCCACTTAGGCTTAACACTTTTATTATTTTATTTATAGACATTCTATTTATCTTTGATATTTTTAAATAGCTCTGTCAACTATAAATTTAAATTCTGCAGCCATAAATTAAATTATTTAATGTAAAGTGCTCTTGTATATATAACTTTGCCTGGAGAAAAAATTCCACTAAAAAGTTTAGTTATTGGCAATACAATAAAAACAAATAAGCAAGATGTCAATATCACTAAATCATTAGAAATAGAAACTAAACATGCAGGATGGTTTTGGTTAGATTAATAAAAAATTGCAATTTGTCATAATCCTATATATTATACACCTGAAATTGAAGATTATGTGATTGTATAAGTTACTGGTAAGAATAGTGAATATTATTTTTGTGATCTTGGTAATGGTTTAGTATATAATCTAAATTAAATGGATTTTGAAGGAGCAACAAAAAAGAATAAACCAAACATTTAAGTTGGATAATTTTTATATGCTAGAGTCATAGAATTGAATCATTATTTAAAGGGCAAATTATCATGCATAAATCCATAAAGTAAAAAAGAATGGGTATTAATATATTTATAATATAGACAACAGGAGAAAATCTATTTCGAGAATTAATTGGAGGAGTAATTGTTGATTTACCTTTGAATTTTGTTTAAAGTCTTTTAAGTTCTTAAACAAAACCAGAATTATTTAAAGAGATAAGCAAACATTCTAGTTTTGAAGTTTGTGTAGGTAAAAATGGTAGGATTTGGATTAAAGGTGCTGATGCTATTTTAATAATTAATTTATTAAAACGTTGTGCTCCTTTACAATTAGAATAACAATTAAATTTGATTAATAAATTTGCATCCCAGTTTTAGTAATGAAATTCAACATACATCATTTAATATATTTCATTCTCTTTCTAATTAAATATTTACTTGGATCCTAATGAAATTTACTAAAGCACCCATCCAAACATAAACTCCATCTTTTACCTGTAAATATAAAACAACCTCCACAAAAATACTTTGATTTATGTTATTAACAGGCTTTACATCTATATTAAAGATAAATAAATACACATTGCAATTTTTTTTGAAATCAGGAAAATGTTGATATTCATAGAGTTGGAATATTACAAAGTCTATTTTCATAATATGAACTCTCTATTTAAAGGTTTATTTATTTTCTATTATATTATGGATAATAATTATGTAATACTTAATGATTTTATTTTTGATAAAAGATTAGAATATAAATCACAGATTTACTTATCTGTCAATTATTTTTATTCATTTTTATTGATCTAATTATATAGTAATCGAGCAGCTTATAATTTTTCAATTGATGTATCAATCCAAACTAATTGAAGGATTTTATGAAAATATTTTATTAGTTCATCATTGTTAACACATTTGTCATATATAAGACTGTAGGTTTTTATTTTTAAATATAGATTTTCATCAATACCAAAACCCTTAAAATTATACCATTTCAATCCATTAATAAATTCAAAGGCATTACAAGCATATGCAACTTTATATATAAATGGACCTTGTGTTGCATAATAATAATTATTTGATATATAAACACATTATTCTTAATTAGTAGTATTAGTTTCTTGGATGAATTCATTACTTTTTTTTATGTATTTAATGTCATTAAATTAAGAATATCGTTGATCAATAGCCTTGGAGTCAGTAGATTAATACTCAAAAAATTATTAATCAAAGCAGTTCATATATTATTATTTTTAATACTATTTTTCAATTTAAAGTCTTAAATGTTTGAGATACTTTACATTTTACTGCTTAGATCTACTCCATTATCATTATCATCTTCTTCATCTATATTGCCACTTGATTCCTCCAAATTGAATTTGAATTCTGCATTCCCACCGATAAGCATATCTTAATTTAAAGCAGAATTCCTTGAACTTACCTAAGCATATATAATACTATTTTAATGAGGATCTGGATCATTATAATCTGTCTGAGTTTTAAAAGGGTTATGATTGCTATTATTAATGACACATAAATAGGAGCCTCTAGAATTTTTGCTTCTTAATTTTTAACTCTTTCTTGCAGTATATTATTTGCTTTGTCTACTTGCAATACTAAAAACATCAGCTTAACTCTCTTCACACATTAGTATAGATCCTTAAGAAATCAATTTCTATTTCTCTTTAAATGCTGATACTATTTGACTCAATTCTATGGATTTCTTTTGATTAAGATTCTTTTCCATTTTCATTATCTATATAAATAGAAACTAAAGTTACTCGATGTCTGGCTTTAAGATTTTTCATTTTTGTTTCAATATGGAGATCTAATTATTCAGTCAAGGCTGAATATAAACTCATTAAATCTTAAGTCACTTCATCAAATAATTTTTGAGATTATTCTACATAATCCATAACCTTCTAATTATTTTCCAATAATTATTCTAAACGTCTTTCCATAAATTTTAATTCCTTAAGATTTAATTATGTTTATTCTCTTTTATTATTAATTAATTCTGTATCATTCTCCATAACAAATTGATCCTTCAATTTTTAAATTTCTATATTTTCTTCATGCTCTTTCAATGTTTAAGTTAAGTTCATTCCCATAACTGCAACAGGTCTATTTAAAATTAATATCTTGTACAAAGATATAGATGTAATTCCAAAAAAAGCTGCTATGCAAGCTACAAATTTTCCAGGGACACTCAAAGGCACCTTATCACCGTATCCAACTGTTGTCATAGTTGCAATACACCACCAAACAGCTTCAGATATTGAATTAATTTTCTATTCATCTTCAATAATATTATTTTCATCATATTCCAAATAATACATAACAATTGAGAAAAATAGAACCAAAAATAAGAACATAGTAATCAAAATTATTATGTCTTTAGCTGAATGCTTTACTGTATCTATCTTTTTAAGTGATTCATATATTTACAATCATTAACATATCCTTCATAAACCTTGAAAGTTTAAATAGCCTAAATACTCTCATAAATCTTATAATTCTAATCACTCTTAAACCAGATAAGCTTGCCCCTTCAAATATTAAATTAAATAAGAAAGGCATAATTGCAAGCAAATCTATTAAATTCAAGGGAGATAATATAAATCCCATTAATTTTGAATCAAAAGCCGTTGAACTAAACATTCTTAATATGTATTCTAAACCAAAGAATATGAATAGATAATATTCTAAATAAAATGAAATGTCATCATATTAAGAATTACTATCTATATTTAAATCAATAATCATACTGTTCTCCATTAATGAATCTACAATAATTGCTATGCAAGATAACAATATACTCGTTAGTAATAGGAATTGCAAACAATAAGCTATTAAAGAAGAGTTAGGGTCTTCTAATAATATGTAAATATATTATTGCATCCCTTTACATATTACTTTCATTTTTCCAAAAAAGCTTTGATTTTGTAGTTTTCTTCTTAAAGAGAAGTCTTCTGTTCTAAATTTCTAAATTCTACTCTTTGAAATCATTTTTTGTTAAGATTCATTTGCTTTTTGTGTTTCACTTTAATCTAAGAATTGTTATGCATTCTATCTTGGAGATATGAACTAACTCAATTTTGAATCTTATTCCATTCAATTCTAAAAATTAATAATTATTAATAATTGTATAACTATCCTTAAAGTATAATAAATAAATTAAAAGTTAGTATTTCATTTAATACTATTGATTAATACTAATTTGATTCTCAATAACCTTTCTATTTTAATCAAATAAGTATATTTGAAATAGAAATTATAGTCACATGAAATTAGTTTGTAGTCAAATTCTTTTTATTTCTGATTGTCTTTTAATATATAGTTTAATAATATTATATATAGAAATATTAGTTTAATTTAATATGTTTATTACACTTTATTAATGTATATTTAAATCTTAGTTATATAGACCCATATACTTTTCAATTCATCTTTATATACTATTATTAATTAATTTGAATACTAATTGTATATTATATAATTTTATAAATTTCATCAATAAGATCTTCCCCATAAAACATATCTCTTGGCTTATTAATCACAATGAAAACATTTCTCTCCATCTTTAATCTCATCTTGTTTCAATGGCATACATAAGGTTTTGGCACTACCAGTAAGTTGAACTTATCCATCAATTTATGAATCCTTCTCTTTGGATTCCCTTCCTGATTTATCTTTAACTTATTATTCACATCCTTAGCTCTCACACCTATATATATTTATATTATTATTAAATACCATTTAGTTAATATAGTATTTCTTAAATTTAATTGTGTCATAAATTCTTTCCAATTATCAGCTTGTTTAATTCTTTAATTTAATTCTATTTTAGCTTTTTCAAACATTGCATTATGAATATTATCTAGAATCTAATTTAATTAATTTAATTCTTCTATTTTAATTTAATATTTCTTATTGTCAAATCTTTAAACAACTCTAACTTCATTATTTTTAAATTCTCCTGGTCCAATCTCCAATCTTATTGGAACTCCTTTCTATTCCCATTTATTAAATTTCCATCCTGGAGAATAATTATCTCTATTATCTATATGAACTCTTAATTTCTATTTAATTAACCTAATAATTTATTAAATTAATAATACATCTATTTTATTTATTCACATCTTTCATTTAATTATTTCTCATCAAGATCTTTATGAATGATTGGAATGATAACAATTTAATATTTAGCAATCCTTGGTGGTAATACTAATCCTTTATCATCACCATGAAACATAATCATAGCACCAATAGATCTTGTTGTTATACCCCAACTTGTTTACCAAGCAAATGTTTTTTATTTCTTGTCATCTTCAAAATTAATCTCAAACATTTTGCTAAAGTTTTATCCTAAATGATGGGATGTAGCTCCTTATAATCCTCTACCATTTTATGGAATTATAGTTTCTACAGTAGTAGTAAAATCACCTCCTGCAAATTTCTCTGATTCTGTTTTAATCTATTAATATTATTAAATTTAATACTCCTTTAATTACTGGAACTGCTAATAATTCACCATATACTTATTCATAGAAGTCCAAAATAGTATAAACTTATTTAACTGCTTCCTCTTTAGTAGAATGAGCTGTATGTCCTTCTTACCATAAGAATTCTCTAGTTCGAATAAATGGAGTTGGGTATTTGAATTCCCATCTCACAACGTTTGTCCATTAATTGACTTTCAATGGTAAATCTCTATGACTTTGAACCCATTTTGCAAATGCTGGATACATAATAGTTTCAGATGTTGGTCTTAAAGCCAAAGGTTCATTTAAATCACTCTCACCGTACTTAGTTACCCAAGCTACTTCTGCCTTGAAACCATCTACAAAATTCTTTTCTTTTATTAAATTTTTTGCTTAAAGAAACATTGGGAAATAAGTATTTTCAACATCTTCTATTCTAATGAGATCATCAAAATATCTTTATATTTATTCCCATATAAAATATGCCCATGGTCTTAAAATATAGCAACCACTAACATCATAATATTCTATTAATTCTGCTTTTCTGATGACTTATTGATACCATTCAGAGAAATCTGATTTTTTTACTGTAATTGCTAAAGTTTATAGATTCTATTAATCTTTTTATTATTCCAATTATTATTCTAATACTTCATCTGTCAATTAGATGACTTAATATTTCTTATTTAATGATTTTAAGAATTTATTTTGTAAATCATCAAGTGATATTTCTACAGTAGTTGTATTTTCTATTGGATGCAATGCTAGTCTTTTAAATTTAGTTAATTCTTCATCAATAATAATATTTTTGACCTATAATAAATTTTTATAGTATAATACTAGATTATTTGAATCATTTGCAACAGCAAAAGGATTTACATTACCTTTACTTGATTTTAAAGCTTCTGAAATTTGTTCTTCTTTACTTAATCTCATGTTTCCTGATGATAATCCAAGTGTTTTCCAAAATAATTTACCAACTTGAGTTGTATGATTTGCCAAAATTAAATAATAATTTGACTATTATATAATTAATGTTTGTTATATACTTTCTTATCAACATATAATAGATTCTTAACATAAGCTGTACCATCTGTCATTTAAATTTTGACAACATCATTAATAGTTGGAACAGGATCATGATGATGTACAATATAGTTTATACCTAATTTAGTTAATTATTCTAAGCAAGCTTATTTGTTTGGTAATAATATATTATTATTGTCCATCAAAATTAAAAAATATTTTTTCTGCTTTTGCACATTATTATTTCTGATATTTAAACTCTTTAAAGCACTAGATTTTATAAGAAATTAATAAATTATTAAATTCTTTCATTTAAATGTTAATAAAAATTTATATATTATGTAACAATTTTCAATTATATTAATCTTGTTGGGATTTTGAAAATTACAAAAATACTGATTCTAAAGATGATTAATTGATTGAGAAATCATGGATCAATTTCTTTTATACAAGTTCCGTCAATGAGAAATAGGCTTTGTGGAAATCGAAAGATTAACTTGGAATCTAATAAAAATAAATCAATATAAATTACATGGAATTATAAATTTTCTTAATCCTTTTATGGAATTTCTGCAATATTTTAGAATTGCTTATTAAGAAATTGTATGATCTCTTGTTTATTCTTATACTCTCTTAATTGTATATCATAACCATCTCCATATTTTATTCTCAATTCTTATGGACTTCCCAAACAATATACTTATCCTTTTACTAAAATTGCAATCTTATCACATAAATTTTCAGCTTCATCCATAGTATGAGTTGTTAACATCACACTACTTTGTCTTAACTGAACTCCCAATTTCAAAGTTCTCCACAAAAATCTTCTGGCTATTGGATCAACACCTGTACTTGGTTCATCAAAGAATTAAATGCATGGTCCTCCAATTAAAGCATTACTAACACATAATTTTCTTTTGTTTCCACCTGATAATCGACCACTTTATCTATTTATATACTCTTCTAATTGCATTGTTTACAAAAAGTATGTAACTGACTCTGTTAAATCTTCTCCAGATAATCCTTTCATTCTACCAAATAAATATAAATGTTCTTTTGGTGTTAAATTCTCCCAAATGCAATCAAATTATGGACATATACCTACATCTTAAAATATCTCATGTTTTCCTCTATGAACTTCTTAATTTTTTATTTTAACATATCCACCACTTTTATTAATTAAAGATGTAAGTATATTAAAAATAGTTGATTTTCCAGATCCATTAGGTCCAAGAAGTCCAAGGATTTTTTATTTCTATATTGATACACTTACATTTTGAAGTGCAACACAACCATTATCATATACTTTTTATAATCTATACATTTTTACAGGATCATTTGATTTTAATAAATTTTTTTCTTATTCTATAACTTATTGATCAACTCTAACACTTCTCTTTACATCATTATTATCTAAATTATTACCTACCTTCTTGAATTATTTACCTTCTAAATAAAGTGTTAAAAAGAAGAAAATAATTCCTTAATAAAGCATGGCAATAGAATAATAAAGGGTTTCAGTAGTTAATGGAGGTGGTTGATCATTGTTAGGACTTACATCTATTTTTATAATATTTTAGAAAGCTCTTTAAAATGCAAAAAATGGACTTAAAAATGAAAATATACATTCAATAGCTTTTATTAAAAATTCTATGAAATCTGCATTTCCTATACCCTTTTACCATAATAAAGCACAAATACCCCAAAAGTTTTAAGGCATACAATAAATGATAAAAAAGTTTAAGAATGGGAAGGTCTTCATAGCAGTAGATGTTTTCTTATACATTAAAATACCAGCAAAATATGAAAATGATATATAAGCAAAACCAAAAGTAACAAATGCAAATACAACATATCCCATATGATCAGTAACAAATGATAATTACATAATGTAACTGAATATAACAAATGTTAAAACAAAAAATGAGTAAAGTAAAAAGTCAAATGCATAAGTACCTATCCAATATGGTAATACTCTACAACCCATTACTGTTAAAGCATATTTTAAATTAAATTCTCTCTCTAATACTGGTAATGTGATAAATAAAGAGGAATTAAAACAAAATGCTAATATTACAAATAATGAAATAAGCACTAATTTAAAATATTACTCTAAATTTTTATTATCTTTAAGAAAATCTAAATTGATTTCATCAATAATTAAAGTACCAATAACTATCAAAGTAAAAGGAATTACAATTGAAATATAATTACTGAATGTTCTTGAAGTTGTGTAAAACTTTCTTAAAAAGATAGCAGTAAATTATGATTTGAATGAATAAACAGGTGGATCATTTAAACACTTTGGAATTTTAATATCTCTTTATTATTCAACTTCTTATTCCATAGCAATATCACTATCATTTACACTTGCTTTACTTCCTTTAGCTTTTTTGATAAATTTCTCTTCATCCATTCCAATATTAATGAATGCATCTTCCAAAGAATTTAATTTTAGATTAATAACAATGTCATTTTTATATTATTTAGTAATTGTTTCAATTAATTAATCTAATTTTTATTTACTTTTGAAAGGTATTAAAAATATCTTAGTATCTGATTAAGATTAAGGATCAAGTTAAGCTTCTTAGATAATTGATAATACTTAATCAGAACAACTCTATAAAATTTATTAATTCTAACTTGTAATAGATAAATGATATCCTTCTCCAAAATTTGTTTTAATATAATCACATTTACCACAAGCCAATAATTTACCTGCTGCCATAATAGTTATTCTATCAGCTAATACTTCAGCTTCATCTAAATGATGTGTAGTTAATATCATAGTTCTATTTTATTATCTAACTTTCTATAAAATCTCCCAAATAATTCTTCTTGATTATGCATCCATACCACTTGTTGGTTCATCTAAGAAAATAACTGAAGATCCACCAATCAATGCAATAGCCAATGATAATTTTCTTTTACTACCTCCACTTAATTCTTTAATTAATTTATATCTATCCTCTTCTAATTCAGTAACTTCTATGATCTCATTTATTTCTTATTATAAATCCAAACCCTCTAATCCTTTGACTCTACCCATGAAAATAAGCATTTCTATAACCTTTAAAGAATTATAAAGAACATCTCTTTATGTGCATATACCAACATTTTCTCTTATAGCATCTATATTCTCTTCTAAATCTATTCCATTAATTTATATTGTTCCTTTTGTTTTCTCAATCATTCCAGTTAACATACTAATTGTTGTAGTCTTACCAGCACCATTATGTCCTAATAAACATAGAATTTCTTATTCATATAATTTAATTGTTAAATTATCAACAGCTTTAAATTCACCAAATTTCCTTGTTAAATTCTTAATAGAAACTGTACATTTTTTCTATATATTTAATTTTTGATGATAAATTGCACTACTATAATCTTCATTATGATCATGAGAATTATCATCATCTAATAATGAATCATTCAATTTATTTTTCTTTGATTTCCCAAATAATCCTTATAAAAAGAATAATGGATGTTTAGCTACTCCATATTCATTTGGAAATACTTAATCCAAATAAAAAAATAAGAGGAAATATAAAATTGATTCTATACCTAATTACAATGCTGCATTTGATAATGGATATGCTGTACTTATAGCTTAGGAATTGAAAAACCCTTTCTTTAATGCACCCATATATATAAAACTTATTGAAGATTATGGAAATATCGACATACAATAGTAGAATAGAGATGAACTATTATTATTATTATTAATATAAATACTTTTGGATACTTGATAAAAACACCAAAAATGTAAGTAGAATTGACAGTATTGTTACAAAAGTTGAAACTTCATTTGCTAATTTAGGACTAGAAAACACTGTTGACATTGCCAATGAAAAATTAAGTACTGTACTACTATATAAAAAATAGGTTAAGAATATTTTATATGATTCTGTCTTAAATCCATAATCTCCATCATTTATAATCAATGTCAATAGCCACCAAAAGAATATTAAAAATATTGTACTCTATTAAATATATCTAATTTTTATACCATCAATGTTTTTATGTAACCATACATAATCCATCCAATTAAATAAGATCTTTATTTCATTCCCATTATCTTTTAAGACTCTTTGAATCTTTCACTCTTCTCTTCAACAAGATTAATTAATAATGATCTAGGAGGTGTGCTAACTGCTATTGATAAAAATAAAGGAGCGAAAAATCCTAAGAATTCTAATTAATCTTTTAAAGAGACTATAATTGCTGTTACTACAGGCAATGCTAAATCAGAAATATATTCTTTATTTCTAAAGGATTATGTGAAATTTTTCACTAAAAGTGCTCTGATTTGTAGAATAATACTTGGCATCAAAACTAACTTTTTTAATAATAATATAAATATCGGAATTCTTAAAATTCTTATTTATATATGTAATTCAATTGATGTAATCAAATTTTTTTGTATCAATTCCATATAGATTTCATTCTCCTCATATTGCCCCAAATATTCATTTATTAAATTATCTTAATCTCTCAAATAATCCTTCTATTATCTTTTCCAATTCTTATTCATTACATTTCTATTCCTTTTGTTTTGTTTTAATTATAATTCAATTGAACTTTTTGTAAACTTAATGGAATTAAACATTACATTATTTTGATATAAGCTAATTATCTATGATTGTTTAAGATCTATAATATTATTTTGATCAGATCTTTGCTAATATTAATATTATAAGTATATATATAGAATAAGCTAAATTATCTATAATTAGAATTAATAAAATCATAGAAGTATAATGAAATTATCATATAGCTTAGTTTTATTCATATTGAATTTATACAATATATATGTGGATTCTTAAAAATGTTTCAATTATTCTTAAAATAATTAGAAAACTATAAAATAATATTAATTAAAATGTTATAAATAATATGTTAATTGTAATTTATGTCACATTCAACAATAACAAATAATTTTATATTATATATTATTTATATATTAATAATGTTCCACTTGTCATAAATGGATTAAATATTCTTAAAATCTTTAGCAGATGTTGTTAGAACATCAAGAACTACATCCCAATATGATAAATTAACATTTACGACATAAACTATAGCAGATATTAAAAATGAAATATCAAGTAGATAGGAATCAGTGAGATATTAAGCATTGTTAAAATTGTTCTTTGTATTTATATAATTCTATAAATTAGTTAGCTATGGAAGGGAATAATATAAGATGGGCAGAATTTTAAATAATAAATCTAATGGGTAGTGCAGATTTCTAATTAAAATTGGGTGCCTAATTAGCAGCACATTTAGTAATTGATAATCAAAGTTAAGGTCTAATTATGGTTACTAATGTATTTTAAAAAGAATTCAAAAATGGTCATATTGAATGCTCTACTACTCTCAGTTGTTTAGGCACAATTGCTAATAAAGATTTATCAGATTCCTTATTAACACATGTTTTAAAACTTACTACAAATACTAAACCTTTGATAAGAAAAAAGGCAATAGCTGTATTATCTAAAATATTTACAATAAATCCATTGAATATTCCTGGAAATTTAGAAATGGTCATACAATAATTATAGAAAGAAACTAATATTTCAGTATTAGCATGTGGAATTAGTTTATTTTGTTCAGTGATGAAAGTGGCACCAAAACTCTATCCATTATTTTTATCTATTGTTTATGATCAAATTTCTAAATAAAAATCAAATTGGTTATTAATCAAATTAGTTAGAATATCAAATAAATTGATAGCTTTAGAACCTAGATTTTAAGGAAAGTTAATTGAACATTATTCTAGATTACTTAATTAAACTAATTCTAAATCTTTATAATATGAATTAATTTATTCAATAATGAAGTATTTTAAAAATCATTCATAACTTTATGAAAGTGCAGGAGATATATTAAAATAATTTTTAAATCATCAAGATCCTAATTGTAAATTAATTTATCATTATATTTATAGTAAGATGTTTAGGATTGGAATGTTTAACTCATATATCAACATCAGCTGGTCTAATGGAATTTTAAGAATAAATTTTAGAGAGTTTTAAAAAAAGTGATTATTTTTCAAAACTATAAATTTTATAGTTATTCAAAGATTTTACAAATCAATAGAACTTTTAAACAGTAATTGAATTTTTTTTGAAATACTCAGATTTAGAAAGCAATCATAAAATTATTGAATCATTAATTTATATAATAACAAAAGATAAATTCATAAATGTGGATGATCCTGAAAAATTATTACTAACTTATATTCCAATAATAGCATAGAAAATAGATACAATTGATAATGCTATGAGATTTAAAGAAATGCTTTTTGAATTATTAACAAGAGTACCTGGATTAAAGGTTTATTCAGATTAATTATGTAATTAAATACTTTAAACATATGCAACTTAATCTGATACATTATAAGGACCTACTTTAAATATTGTATAAAGACATACTTAATTGAAATATTCTTTAAATCATAGAGAAATAATTTTTAAATCTTTAATAATGATAGTAGGTGAATCAGTTAAATTATTGAAATTAGAAGCACTTATAAATATAATTAAGTTTTTAGAATAATTAAATATATTAAATTGTTATGAATCATCATTATCAGATATAGATTCATTATTATTTAAAATATATATTTAAATAATAAAAATTGATTCTTAAAATGAAATCATACCTTAAATTGAATAATTAATTAAGAATATTTATAATAAGTTACATAATATTTCAATAGTAAAAATATAATTTTTTTATGAATCTTTAATAAATAATAAATAAAAAGATAAACTTGATTAATTGTTTACATTATATGAGGAAGATTTACCACCAATTAATTTAGAAGTATTAATTTATATGAGTATTAAAAAAGGCTCAAAAATTGATAAAGCCTCCTGAAAGTTTGAATATCACTTAATCATTTCAAATAGATATAGAAGAAATTGAAAAGATTAAAAATTCAAATAATGAGTAAATAGAACAAAAACCAATAGTTTAATAAATAGTATAAGTAGAATCAAATAAAAATGATTAAGTAGATCAGAATATAAAAATATAGAAATAGGATGAGAATGAGGAAGAATTAAAAATATTGAATAATAAAGTAGATTCAATTCCTAAAAAAGTTTTTACAATCAATAGAGATGAAGAATTACCACCAGGAGTAAATTAAAATGATATAAATTAATCTAAAGAAGATGAATGATTAAATTATTTATAATGTTCAAAAAAAGATTCTAAATTTATTTAACGTAAATTATCTTTAAGAGTTTACTTAAATTATTAATATTTAACTTAAAAATACGTATAATTTTAAATAATATTCAATATAATTATTATATAAATTATGAGCTAAAATGCTATGGTGAAAGCGCTCAAAATGCTAGTTTAGAATAACTAGGAATAGTAAGATAAGTTCACTTTTACTACTTAATAAGTTTAGAATTAAAAAAGAAGGTGTACATTTAGACCAGGCAATTAAGTTACGAATTAATTAAATTAGTTTAATGTAATCTTAAATCAATAATTTAGCTATTGGTAAAAAAGGGAGAATGGAATGGAGAGATAAGTATAAAAGATTACAAAGGTACTTTTAAAGTAGAACATTGGATATATATTGAATAAGAATTACGTTCACTTACTTAATTATAATTACTTTAATTTATTAATACATAATTAGACAAAGAACATCTAAATATTCTAGGTAGACTCATTAATTGGTTAAATCCAATTGACTTTACTTTAATTTTGAAATAGAATGAAATTGATGATATGGATGTTAAGGATTTTTTATATGATTTGTTACTAAACAAAATTAATTTTTAATAAGTAAATTTTTAATATATATTATCAGATTTTTATTAAGAGTAATCCTGGTATTTATAAAGGTAGTTTCATAGTTTAATTAGAATAATTCCTTAAAATAGAATATGAAACTAAGAAACGAAATTATTTCTATAAAATAATTAAAAATACATAAACATTTTCTTTGGGATTGATTAAAATATTTTATAATGAATTAGATTAACCATCATATAAAGAAAAAATAGAAAATGCAGAATTAGAAATTGATTAAACATGTTTTTATGATTTGAAAGTAGCAGGATGTTTCACTAATAATAATTATAAAGCATTTTATAATTTAATATAATTATTATACCATGAAGATCATTTAGAATAATTAGTTGGATTAAATGTAAATGATAATTATTTAGGAGAATTAGGAGAATTTTCAAAAGCATGTTAATTATTCTCTACTTCAAAAGGTCTACTTTTATTGGAAATGAGTATAATTTATTATCATATTAAGGTAACTAACCATTATTGCATAATTCAGTATCTGTAGAAAGTCTATGTGGTAATCGTTATGATTAATTAAGATTATCTATGTTGAATATAGCAAACAATGATAAAATGACTCCAAAGGTATTTGAATTAATTAGTTACAATATTTTAAATGACTTAAAAATAATTAAATTAGACAATTCATTACCAGCTGATTTACCTACTCTATTGAAAATCTTTTATTTTATTGAATCTTATGATAAATAGATAACTCATTTAAAATAATTGACATAATAAACTAAAACTTTATAAAAACTTAATCTAGAAGAATTAGATTTATCAACTGTTGAAAATTATAACAGACATGATTTAATGTATAAACTTATTAAAAACACTTGTTTTAATATTCATTCTAATCTAAGAAAATTAACAATATCAAATTGTGATGCAGGAAGAATGGAAGCTTACTATAAAGCATATGATGATTTTGTTAAGGAAATAAAAGCTAATTCTAATAATTTCTGTTATTAAAATTATAGAATTCCATTAGTAGAAATAATAATTCCAGAATAAAGGTATTCAATGGAAACTCCAATTAATTTATAATTTTTATTATCACTAGTATTTACAACTTCAGAAGATTATTTGTAAATATAAAGTGTAACTTTTATTGAGGCTTTCAATGTAAGTTAAAGAAATGAAGCCTTTAATTAGGCTCTTAAAATAATATCTAGTTAAGATGAAAATGTAAGATATACATTAAAATAATTCTATGGTATAAGAATGAGATTTTATTTTGAATAGACTCATTTCAATCAATTAGTATTCAACAATAATTTATCTCTAGAAAAATATTACTTAGAAGATACTTCATTTAGTACTGATTCTGATTAATTTGAAGAAAGTTTAACTACTTATATTAATGATCTTTAATTAAATAATCAATTTTTTGGCTTAAAATCATTTACATTAAAAAATGCTTATGGAGCATCAATAGAATTATATTCATTAGTTTAATATCTGATTTTTCACAAATGTACTTTTTTAGAAGAATTATGT